TGTAAAAAGGAAAGTAATAATATATCCAAAGAGTTCTGAAGTTGGATATTAAGTTTAATAGTGAGATATATTAATTGTTACTGTAATTGTTGAGGGAAGCTGAATTACTTTATAAGAAAAGAAATGTTGTTGTTGTTATGTGCTGTCGAGTCGGACCCAACTCATAGAGACCCCTCCTTGGGTTTCCGAGGTGGTATCTCTATGGAAGTAGATTGCCCAACCTTCCTTCCGAGGAGTGGCTGGTGGGTTTGAACCACCAGCCTTCTGGTTAGCAGTCAAGTGCCTTAGGCACTGTGCTACCAGAGCTCCCAAGAAAATAAATAGGAAACATATTTTCTAAGAAAAGAAATAGGAAACATATTTTTATGAAGAAGCTAGAAAGTATTTCTTGGGTAAAATTGATTTGGGGTAGAAAGTAAGACAAATGGAAGATAGAAGGAGGAATTATTTTGGAGAAACTAGAATAGGTTATCTGTAAATTCATTTTCTAAATATTATTAATTATAGCTTAGAATCATATACTTCTACGCTTTAGTGTCCATTGCAAGACATTCCTCTTTTGTCTTGGACTTGTTATTACTTATCCTGATATAAAAAGCAAGTAAATTTACTTTAACTGTTTTTACTCATTAACTAAAGTAATTCAGTCATTTTGGTAAATACCTGGTTGGCAGTGCATTATTTATATTTATCTAAGTTGTTTTATATTTACCTAAGCTGTTTTTGTAATTATAATCTTAGCATCTGGGAAAGATGAGCAAAATTAACATTAATTTGCTCGAAAGAAAGTACAGGTATGCACTGCATAACATCCATTTGGACAGCATCCAACCTCATAAACATACCAAACCTGAAACCAGACTCACTGCCATTGGGTTGATTCTGAATCATAGTGACTCCCATTGGCTTTGCAAGGCTGTTAATCTTTACAGAAGCAGCCTGCCTCATCTTTTTTCTGTGGAGCAGCTGATGGGTTCGAACCACTGACCTTTCGGTTAGCAGTCAAATGCCTTAACCACTACACAACCAGAGCTCCTTTAATAGACATAAGGGGTTGTTTTGTTTGTTTTTTCTTCAGCAACCAGTAAGAATTTTGGGGGGCCACTGGGCATGCCGAGCTGGGCAGCCATGCAAGAGGGTAGGTGGGTAAGAGTCCTTCCTCTGGAGCCTTAAAGTAGGCCCATGTTCCTCACAGGCCCCATCCAGCTGCCCCACCTACTCCCAGAAGTAGATTCTCTGGTGCTAGATGACCTGTGAGCTCTGGCTGAAGGCCTTGCTGTAGATGTTGCAGGCAAGAGTCTTCTCCTCCATGTGGGTCTACAGGTGCTAGAAGAAATGGAAACGACTGTGGAAGGCCTGGCTTGCCTGTATGGATGCGCTGGTGTTGGATGAGCACAGAGCTCCAGGTGAAGGCCTTGCCAAACTGGCTGTGGATGAAAGGCTTTCACTCCATGTACCCTCTGGTGCTACACCAGGTTAGAGCTCTGATTGAAGGCCTGGCTGCACTTCTGCACTTACAGTGCTTCTTCCCATTGTGATTGTGCAGGTGCTGTGTGAAGTGCCAGCTGTGGCTGAAGGCTATGCCGCACTGGCCATACTCATGGTTTCTCGCCCATGTGGATGCTCTGGTGATTCAGCATCCAGGAGTTCTCCTTGAAACTCTTGCCACTGGCCTCACAGCAAGTAGCACAGCTTCCCACCTGTGTGCCCTCCCGCTGGTCCCAAAAGTCCATGCGCAGGCCAAAGCTTCTGCCCATCTTGGACCACTCAGAGCTGCTGCTGATCCTCGGGGCTCCCTGTGACAGGCGCATCATGCTCCTGGGGCTCATCTTCCATGTGCATGGTCCAGTCTCTGGTGACTAGTCCGCAGGTCACTCCATAGTGGCCTCTGGCCTCAAATTATCTCCAACTTGGGTCTCTGGGGAAGGGCCCTCTATAGGTTCTTCAGCACCCCTGCGTCCTGGCCCCCCGTACCTGAGTAATGTCTGGCTAGAGAGCAAGAACCATGTTCTTGGCTCTGACTTAATATTGAGCCAGAAAGTTTCTCACAATCTTGACTTCTTGGATGTTTTAGGGATCCACATCTGACAGTTCTACCTCAGGCTGTGGCTGGGTGAGCACCTCAGGGCTGGAGAGGGCAGAGTGTCATGTTTATGATCATGGAGGTGAAGCTGGGCCTCATGGTGGTGGGTTCCTAGAAGTGTTCCTGGTGATGAAAAGAGTGAAGGGAATGGAATAGGAGGGGCACCGTCTATCTCAAGACCTCCTGAAGGTGTATGCACCTAGGAGTTTTATTCTTGTCTGAGGGGAGGTGAAGGGGATGTCTCAGGGTGGAAGGACCTTCAACTCATAGGGCTTCAGACACTTGCTTTGAGCTGTGGTTCCAGCCCTGACCACTGCAGCAGCGAAAGTGGGGGAGGGGCACCAGCTCCATAAGGTCAGGAACAAACAATCTTCCATTGCTTTTACCAACTCAGATCACCGTACCTGTGGAGAAGGGGATGATCATAGAGAGCAGTAACTCAGAGAGCAGCTGCCATGGCTTCACAAAAGCCATGTGACCTCAGATGTTTTGGATGTTGTGGGCACACCATATCATATACCAAAACCAAAAACCAAACCCACTGCTTTTGAGTTGATTCTGAGTTGTGGTAACCCCCACTGGGTTTCTAAGGCTGTAAATCTTAAAGAAGTAGATTGTTCCATCTTCCTTTTGCAGAGTAACTGGTGGGTTTGAACCCCCAACCTTCTGGTTAGCAGTCAAATGCCTTAGCCACTGTACCACTAGAGCTCCTCATCATATACAAGTATATAATATGATGTTGTTGTTGTTGTTATGTGCCGTCGAGTCAGCCCCGACTCATAGCGACCCCTCCTTGGGTTTCTGAGGCAGTATCACTACGGAAGCAGGATTGCCCAACCTTCCTTCCGAGGAGTGGCTGGTGGGTTTGAACCGCCAGCCGTCTGGTTAGCAGGCAAGTGTCTTAGCCACTATGCTACCAGAGCTCCCTATAATATGATAGCAGGTATATAATAGGGTGTTCACACAGCATCCAAATTACATAATGTCCTATTTCACATAATATATCATGGATGTAAGCAGTGCATACATGTAGGCACAAATTTCAGGTAGATGAAATGAACTTGGTGAAGCTATTTTTGGTTTATCCAGCCAGAAGTATCATCTTATGTATTAGGACATCTGAGGTGGAATGATTTCTGGAAAGCTCATGAGAGTAGGTACTGTGCCCTAGTTTCAGCTTAGCATTTTTATATTGAAGATAAAACTTTAGAAAACAATTGCTTTAGATTTTGTGGTAGTTAAGTTTGTGTGTCAACTTGGCTGGGCCTAGTTGAGTGGCTGGACAGCTGGATGTATTATTCCCCACGATGAGACTGGTAATCAGCTCCATGGTGAATCTACTGTGAGCAGCTGAGTAGCTGCCTTAGGGATGTGGGCTGCTTCCTGTATTTAAGGAGAAACCTTGGGGAATGGTCTCTAGCTTATGGCACACTTGAACCCTGCATGTAGCCGAGTTGTTCAGCCGGCTGCCATGCTCTGCCGACCTTGGGACTTTCCGTGGACTTGAGTTAATCGCCTGCCGGGTGGTTTGGTAACATCAAGACTGTGCCTTTTTGCTTGTCAATTTCAACAACCAGCAGTGAAGAAAAGCCTCTTCAGTGGGCTGGGAGTAGGAGGCAGAGCTGAAGCCCAAGGCTAAGGGGCTTTCACCCAACCCCTAGAGCCTGATACTTTGAACTTGTACTTCAAGCCTCCAAATTGTAAGAAAATAAACTGTTTCTTCAGGCATCCCATTTGTGGTATATTCTTGTCAGAGCAGCTCTAGGTAACCAAAACAGATTTTTTTCCTCACTTTATTTGTCAGTAAGAATTTTGGTGAGACCTTTAAGGCCACTTCTAAGCCCTCATACTCTGTGATCTTGTAGTTACTTGTTTAACTCTTAGAACATTTATCATACTCTCCTTTTAGTGTATTCATTTTGTGCTTCTGACTTTTCCCCTTTTATAGCTGTTTTTCTAATCATGATAGTAGTAAATTATTAATCTTTACATCACTTTCATAATTCTTTACTCAAAAAAATCTAAATGTTTGTTTAAAGCATATGATTTACTATTATAATCCACCATATAATCAAATAATATTTTTCAGAAACTTAATTAAATATGAAAAATCTGATGTAGCAATTTTTTGTCTTGTCTTTCAACAATAATATAATAGTTTATTTCTAGTTCAGGCTTAACTTGTAGTAGATTTCTCAGTAAAACTCATTCTGTTTGATTATGATCAAAAAGATTTATTTTGGGATTTGCCATGTACTAGTGTCACTTGAGGAGCTCTGGTAGCATAATGCCTAAGCCACTTGACTGCTAACCAGAAGGCTGGCGGTTCAAGCTCACCAGCCACTCCTCGGAAGGAAGGTTGGGCAATCTACTTCCTTAGTGATACTACCTCGGAAACTCAAGGAAGTGTCGCTATGAGTCAGGTCTGACTCAATGGTACATAACAACAACGACAACAACAGTGTCACTTGGGACATACTACTTAACCTCTTTCATTCTCAGTTGCCTGAATGATAAGATGAGGGATAATGGTAGATCCTTTGCCAAGTTTTTGTGAGGTTTAAATAAAGTGTTCTGGAAAAATGTCAAGCACAGTGCTAGGTAAATGATACACACCTATTAAGATGTTGGTTTTCTTTTTTTATGTTTTCCTTCCAGAGTTGGGACATCTTTCTGCTTGCAGAGTTTCTAGCATGTGATATTTGGTAAATGTGTTAAATTGAAGATGTTAATGAAGATGTAACTTAATATGAGAAATTACAAAACAAAGCTTTAAGAATCACAAAAAATTCTGAATTTATGTAAATAATACTTATTAAGGACAAACTTTAAAGTGTGACGTAATTCAATTTGGTATTCTTAATATTTTTGTGAAATGAAAACGTTTTAATGTTTAGCATTTCTATTTTTGTTTTAGTGATGTAGCTTGGTTCGATGAACCTTGGTTAAGCCGAATTAAAGAGGATGTTGGTGACAACTGGAGAATAAAGGTATGCAGAATGTATAGGAGAAACACTTCTTTAGATCTTTTATATCCTTATTGATTTTCTGTTCTATTAGTTATGGAAAGGGTAGTCCTTAATTCTCTATGGAGGATTTTGGATTTGTCTATTTCCAATTTCAATTCTGTTAATTTTTACTTCGTGTATTTTGAATCTTTATTATTAGATTTATACGTAGTAGATTTCTTACATGTTCTTGATAAATGAGCTCATTTGTGGTTATGAAATGCCTCCTTATCCCTGGTAATAATCCTTTTTCTGAAGTCTGATTTGGTGATATTACTATAGCTACTCCAGCTTTGTTATGATTATTGTTTTAATAGTTTGTCTTTTTCTGTTTTTTAGTCTTTGTCCTTAGATTGAAGGTGTTTTATGTAGACATCTAATGGTTGGGTCTTACTTTCTTAATCAGTGTGAGTCTCTGTCTCTTAATACAATGTTTAGACATATCTAGTCAGTGTCACTGGGTTTAAATCAAATTTATTGCTGTTTGTTTTCTTTTGTCTCTTCTTGTAGTGGTGGTGTTAGATGCTGTCGAGTTGGTTCTGACTCATAGTGACCCCATGTACAACAGAATGGAGTACTACCTGGTCTTGCACCAGCCTCACAATCCTTGCCACACCTGAGCCCGTCATAGCAACCACCATGTAGATCCATCTTGTTGAGGGCCTTCCCCTTTCTCATTGACCCTCCACTTTACCAAACATGATATCCTTCTCCAAGGAGTGATTCCTTCTGACAACATGACCAAAGTAGGTCAGATGAAGTCTGGCCATTCTCCCTTCTAAGGAGCATCCCAGCTGCATTTCTTCCAGGACAGATTTGTTTGTTCTTTTGGCAGTCTATGGTACTTTCAGTATTCTTTGCCAACACCACAACTCAAAAGCATCAACTCTTTAGTCTTCCTTGTTCATTGTCCAGCTCTCACATGCACATGAGGCAATTGAAAATACGTGGCTTGGGTTAGGTGTACCTTAGACTTCAAGGAAACATTTTTCCTCTTCAGTATTTGAAAGGGGTCTTTTGCAGTAGAGTAGATTTGCCCAGTGTAATATATCATCTGATGTCTTGACTGCTGCTTCCATTGGTATTGATTGTAGAACTAAGTATATGAAATCTTTAACAACTTCAATATTTTATCCATTTATTGTGATGCTGCTTGTTGATCAGTTGTGAGGATTTTTGTTTTCTTTGTGTTTAGATGTAGTACGTACTGCAAACTGTAGTCTTTAATCTTCATCAGTAAGTGCTTCAAGTCATCCTCACTTTCAGCAAGCAAAGTTGTGTCATCTGTGTATCACAGGTTGTTAATGAGTCTTCCAATCCTAATGCCACCATCCTCTACATATAGTCCAGCTTCTTGGATTATTTGTTCAGCATACAAGTTGAATAAGTATGGTGAAAAGATATAACCCTGACACACTCCCTTCCTGATTTTAAACCATCCAGTATCACCTTGTTCTGTTCAAGTGACAGCCTCCTGGTCTATGTATATGTTCTTGATGAGCACAATCAAGTGTTCTAGAATTCCCATTCTTCACAAAGTTATCCATAATTTGTTATGATCCACACAATCCAATGCTTTTGCGTAGTCAATAAAACACAAGTAAACATCTTTCTGGTATTCTTTGCTTTCAGCCAAGATCCAACATCACCAGTGATATTCCTCGTTCCATGTCCTCTTCTGAATCCAGCTTGCATTTCTGGAAGTTCTCTGTCAGTATACTGCTGCAACTGTTTTTGAATTATCTTCAGTAAGATTTTACTTGTGTGTGATATTAATGATACTGTTTGATAATTTCCACATTCTGTGGGATGACCTTTCTTTGGAATGGGTACAGATACGCATCTTTTCCAGTCAGTTGGCCAGGTAGCTGTCTTCCAGATATCTTGGCATAGACAAGTAAGTGCCTCCAGCAGGGCATCCGTTTGTTGAAACATCTCAGTGGGTATTCCATCGATAGTTGGAGCCTTGTTTTTTGCCAGTTGCTTCAGTGCAGCTTCGACTTCTTCCTTTAGTACCATTGGTTCTTGATCGTATGCCACCTCCTGAAATGGAGGAACATTGACCACTTCTTTTTGGTACAATGACTGTGTATTCCTTGTATCTTCTTTTGATGTTTCCTGCATCATTCAGTATTTTGCCCATAGAATCTTTCAGCATTGCAGCTCCAGGCTTGAAATTTTTCTTCAGTTCTTTCCACTTGAGAAATGCTGAGTGTGTTCTTCCCTTTTGGTTTTCTAACTCAAGGTCTTTGCACATTTCATTATAATAATGGACTTTGTTTTCTTGAGCTGCTCTTTGAAATCTTCTGTTCAGCTCTTTTATTTTGTCATTTCTTCCATTTGCTTTAGCTACTCTCTGTCCAAGGGCAAGTTTCAGAGACATCTATTTTGGTCTTTTCTTTCTTTTCTGTCTTTTTAATGATCTTTTGCTTTCTTTATGGATTATGTTCTTGATGTCATGCCACAATTCCTCTGGTTTTCAGTCATTCGTGTTCAATGCTTTAAATCTTTTCTTTAGATGGTCTCTAAATTCAGGTGGGATATAATCAAGGTCATATTTTGGCTCTCGTAGACTAGTTTTAACTGTCTTCTGTTTCAACTTGAACTTGCATATGAGCAACTTGCATATGATAGTCTTTTCCACAGTCAGCTCCTGGCCTTGTTTTGACTGAAGATACTGAAATTCTCCATCGCCTCTTTCCACAGTTGTAATCAATGTGATTCCTGTGTGTTCCCTCTGGGAAAATCCATGTGTATAGCTGCTGTTTGTGTTGTAAAAAGATATCTACAATTAATAAGTTGTTGGTCTTGCAAAATTCTGTCATGTGATCTCTAGCATTATTTCTATCACCAAGGCAAAATTTTCCAATTACTGGTGATTCTTCTTTGTTTCCAACTTTTGCATTCTAATCATCATTGATAACACATCTTGATTGCATGTTTGGTCAATTTCAGACTGCAGAAGTTTGTAAAAATCTTCAGTTTCTTCATCTTTGGCTTTGGTAATTGGTGCATAAATTTGAGTAATGGTAGTATTAACTGGTCTTCCTTGTAGGCGTATGGATATTATTCTATCACTGACAGCATTGTACTTCAAGATAGATCTTGAAACATTGTGATGATGAATGCCACACCATTTTTTCAATTTGTCATTCCCGGCATAGTAGATCACATGTTATCTGATTCAAAATGGCCAAAACCTATCCATTTCAGCTCACTAATGCCTAGGATGTCAATCTTTATGCATTCCATTTCATTTTTGATAGTTTCCAATTTTCCTAGATTCATTCCTTGTACAGTCTGTGTTCTGATTATTAATGGATGTTTGCAGCTGTTTCTTCCCATTTTGAGTCATGCCACATCAGCAAATGGAGGTCCCTAAAGCTTTACTCCATTCACATCTTCAAGGTCAGCTCTACTCTGAGAAGGGCAGCTCTTTCCCAGTCGCATTTTGAGCACCTTCCGACCTGAGGGGCTCATCTTCTGGCACTATATCAGACATTGTTTCATGGCTATTCATAAACTTTTTCAGTAATATATCAGAAAGGATTTAACTACTATTCATAAGGTTTTCACTGGCCAGTTCTTTGAGAAGTGGATGACCCCTACCTTTTTCCGGGTCTGTCATAGTCTGGAAGCTCCGCTGAAACCTGTCCACCATTGGTGACCCTGCTGGTATTTGAAGTACCAGTGGCATTGCCTCCAGATTCACAACAACTCATAAGCCATCTCAGTATGACAGACTGACAGGTGGTTGTCTCTTCTTTGTTCCTTTTTCTTTTCTTCTTTTTGGGTTAGTATATTTAGAATTTTATCTTATAATTAAATCTTTTTTTTAAAAAAAATAATAATAAATACTGTTAGTTGGCTTATTACCTCCTCTTTGTTTTAATTTTTAGTGGTCATTCTAGGGGTTACCATATATATTGTTTTAACTTACCCATCCCCCCACCCCCCCAAAAAAAAACAACGAACTCATTGCAGTCACATTGATTCCAACTCATAGTGACCCCCATTGGGCTTCCAAAGCAATATTTCTTTAAGTAGATTGCCTCATCTTCCTTCTGTGGAGTGGCTTGTGGATTTGAACCACCATATATCTTCAAATGGTTTTTGTCTCCCACCCCCTTTTCTGCAGTTGCATTTTAGTGTTTTTCAGTATCTTTCATATCATTGCTTATTTTTGTACAGTTTTTGTTCCTGTGTATTTTTTAGCCTTTTTTTCCTTACTGCAATGTGTAAGCTACTGTTAATCCCATCCATGAAATTTTTATTTCAGATATTGTTATTTTTTTAACCTCTAAAATTGTTATTTGGCTTTTTAAAAATATAACTTTCCTTTCTTTTGTTGATGTTTTTCTTTAGTCCTTAAACAATATTAAACTAGTAGTTTCTACATTCTTCCAATTCTTGTATCTCTCATGTCTGGGCATATTTCTCATGACTGATTTTCTCTTCATGTGACCTATGTTTTCCATATGTGTACTTATTTTTATTGGATGCTTGTGGTAGTTCAGTTTCTCTGTCAACTTGGCTGGGCCTGGTTGAGTGGCTGGGCAGCTGGATGTAGTATTCCCCATGATGAGACTGGTAATCAACTCCATGGTAGAATCTACTGTGAGCAGCTGAGTAGCTGCTTTAGGGATGTGGTCTGCTTCCTGTATATAAGCTGAAGACTTGGAGAATGGTTTCTAGCCTATGGCACACTTGTTTCCTGCATGTAGTTGTGTCGTTGTTCAGCCGCCTGCCATGCTCTGCTGACCTTGGGACTTTCAGTGGACTTGAGTTAATGGCCTGCCATGTGGTTTGGTAACATCAGGACTGTGCCTTTTTACTTGTCAGCCTTGGGGCTTGTCAGCCTCAGCAGCCAGCACCTATCTGAGTGAAGAAAAGCCTCTAGTTTCAGTGGGCCAAGACAGGAAGCAGAGCTGAAGCCCAAGGCTGAGGGGCTTTCACCCAGCCCCTAGAGCCTGGCACCTTGAACGTGGACTTAAAGCCTCCAAAACTGTACGAGAATAAACTCCTGTTTGTTAAGGCCATCCCATTTGTGGTATATTGTCAGACCAGCGCGCTAGGTAACCAGAACAATGTTATACATTGAATTTTGTTGTTGAGTACTGGGTTTTTAATATTCTTGTAGAGTATGGATTTTGTTCTTGAGTGCAGTTAAGATACTTGTGAATCAATCTGATCATTTCAAAGTTTATTTTTAAGCTTCTTAGTAAGAGATCTAAAATATTCTTTCCTCTGACACTAGGTGAGACTCAATATGTTATGACCTTTCTTGGGTCTCTCGTGAATGCTTTGTGTAGACATCGTAGTCTTTTCATTCTTGCTGGTGGAAATGTCAGCAGTTCTTGACCCTGTGTAATCTTTAAGAATTGTTCACTTTACAGTTGTGCTGAATTGTAGTTCCTTGAAATTTTTTTTTTGTTCAGTATTGTTGACTTTTACCCCGTGCATGCAAATTGGCATATTGCCAAAGAGTCAAACGGCGTCACTATGCACATATCTTGAATTCTTTCTCTTCTTAGCTCCTGCCTCTTTGCTTCTCTCCTGAAAATTCTAGCCTCTTGGGCCTATCCCACACTTAGGATATCTTTGTCCTCAACTCAAGACATCAGGCTTGTTTAGTTTCACCCTCCTCGCTCCATGGTCTGAAAATTGCCTGTAAACAGAAAGCTGGGACCAGTGTTGGGCTCATCATTTTTGTTTCCTTTCTCTCAGAAAGCAGAATTTTGTATTTCTTCTTGTCTAAAGTTTGAAAACAGTTCCTTGTGTTTTCTAGTTGCTTGTGACAGGAGAGTGAGTCTACACCCTATTAGTTGCTAATGACTGGAGGTAGACATGTTCATAATTAAAGTGGACACTTGAATTCAGTGTGATTCACTTTAAATACAAGCACTCTGGTTACAAAAGTCTTACAGTTGAAGACTTTTTTTCTTTCTGGTCCGTTTCTCATTAAATGTCTGATGTTTAAAAAAATATGTGCTTGCATTAGCATATTTCTAATATAAAGCTTTTGTTTTATTTTTTTATCAGGGAATTATTTTTTATATAACTAACCTTAGCATAAATTTTCTTTCATTATTAATAGCAAATAAGAAATTTACTTTTTTTTCCTCCTCCTTTAGGCTAGTAATTTAAAGAAGGTCCTTCAAGGAATTATGAGTTACTACCATGAGGTATGAAAAACATGACTTTGCTTAAATACAAAATGCTTTCTGATAATTATATTGACACTGAAATTTGACTTGGCTTTTTGTTTATAACATTTTATTGGATCATAATTAGAATATGTATTGTTGCCATTTTTTGAATACTCACATTTTTAAAGTACTGATTTGTAAACTAACACTGCATACATATGTATGTATGTTTATACATAGGAGCTCTGGTAGCATAGTGCCTAAGCCACTTGACTGCTAACCAGAAGGCTGGCGGTTCAAGCCCACCAGCCACTCCTTGGAAGGAAAGTTGGGCAATCTACTTACGTAGTGATACTGCCTCGGAAACCCAAGGAGGGGTCGCTATGAGTCAGAGCCAACTCGACGGCACGTAACAACAACAACATGTTTATATATACATGCATACTATTAAAATTGATTTTTTCTCAAATAGGTTTTACTTCATTTTTAAATGATTTGATTTCATACAATACTATAAAGTAGAAAATAGACTTTATAGTTAAATTGAAGTAATTTTTAATTTAAACCATTCTCTTGTTTTGATGTCTCTTTCCCATGTAAACAATAGTAAAGGTATATTGTGAGATTTTACTTGTGCAAGTGAATAGGAAGAAAAAAAACTACATGAAAGTAGTATTAAACTCACACTAGATAGTATATTACTTAAGTAGTTTATTTTTTCTTATTCAGTATCATAATAAAAAGTAGTATATAAGAATTACTTGATACAAGAAAACTCTTTGTCAGGCAGCTTATTGCTTAATGATTGAAACCTTTTGGTTGGTTTTGCTATTAAATAGTTGTATTTCTATTTTTTAAAGTCACACAAACGTATAATTTATTCCAAGAAATTTTAAGGGAATTCTTAACATTTTCAATTCATTAATGCCAAAAAATGCATTTTGAAGCTTTTATAAATGACAACAAAATTTTTAGTAAGTTAAAAATAAGAAAAATAGGGCCAAGAAAAATTAATCCATTTAGTTTATTTGTTCATTTGCAAAAGTGTGACAAATTACATTGAAGTTCTCTAGCAGTTGATTATATTTTAAGATACTATGTCTGTCCTTTGATTAAACGTAAACCTGTCTTTATTTAATAGGAAATAATAAAATTTGTCATAGCATGTTAGGTGAAGAGCTCCTTCCTTCAATTAAGTAATTCTCTTTGACGGTTATACCAAATGGTATTTGGTGTAAAATTGTTTTAGTTGCTTTTGTTTACTCAAAATTTTGGGAGGTTGACAGAAGATTGCTAACTAGCTTTAATCAGTAATCGTGGATTTATCATTTGTTAATTTAGCTGAGTCTGTTTTTAAACCTATTCATAGTTTGTTTCCTTGTGATAATCCAATGTAGTTTATTTCTTTGTAGACAACATAAATGAATGATCCTAATTTATTCTTTGATACTGCAGTTTTTGGGACAGCAGATTCCTGAACAACTTATCCCTGATTTAAACCAAATAACTGAATGTTCAGATTCTGTGGAACTTGGGAGGTTGCTTCAGCTTATTTTAGGTTGTGCAGTCAACTGTGAAAAGAAGCAAGGTAAGTGAATTTCAGTCCTTTAGATTCTAGAAACAACCTGTAAAACAAACGAAACCAAACTCAGTGCCATCGAGTTGATTCCTACTCATAGCGACCCCCTTTGGGTTTCTGAAGTGGTAAATCTTTACGGAAGTAGATTGCCCAGTCTTCCTTCTGTGGAGTGGCTGGTGAGTTTGAATCGCCAACAGTCAGTTAGCCAACAATTAACAAATGCCTTAGGCACTATGCCACCAGATCTCCTTAGAAACAACTTATATTACTGTACAAAGAAGGAAAAAATTTTCTGTTAAAAGCTTGGCAGAAACTCTCTGGAATGTAAGCCAGAAGATTTGAATTCTAGCCAAGCTCTGTCATTAAAAAAAACTTGTATCTTGAATATCTCATTTGTCTTGATTCTAAGATTCCTATTTAGTGGCTAAATTACATACATTTTATTTGTAACTCATTTTAATATATTTAGTGCTAAATATATAATATATTTAGTGGATAATTCAGTACATTTAATTGTTGATTTGATTCACTATTTCACTTGTGAGGTAGAACTTTAGATTATTTCAGTTTTTTAAGAAATAAATATGCAGCTTCTAAATTATAATCCCGGCTTCTTCAGATGATAGTCTCTTTTTGTGAGAAGAATGCCTATCACATTTGTCCTCTAGATATCAGGTCTGATGATGGTTCATTGTTTGGGTCTACCCAAACACTGTGGTCTACCCAAACATATCTTGCTGAGAACAAAAAGCTGTTTTGGTGACTTATAACAAGTAAAATAATGAACAGAACTGACCTCCAACTACTTCCTTCAGAGGCTTTTATCAGTCTGAGTGGTGAGTTTTAACACTGATATTTTTTGCTTGATTTGTCCAAACTTGGTCTTAGGATATTATTACATTTATAACAGAATATTTGGTGCTTAAATTTATGAAATAATTCTGTTTAACTCCTTGGAAAACATATTTAAAATTATCTGATTAATAAGGGGAGTATGTGAGACAGGGTAAATTCAGTAGGAACTAATTCATAGAAAAGAAAAATAAAATATATGAAATCACTTGTAGTTTATCAATTAAAAAGGAGAGGGGTTGACTAATACCTGATATTAGTCCATTTCTATCATTGACTTTTCTTGCAGGGTCAGTACTTCCCATAGGCTTTTATTTCTCACTCAAAATGTCAAAAATCTGTGTATTACATTTTTTTCATAAAAGTGAGGGACATTTGCTCATGGAAAGTTAAAACCCCCTTAAATATTTCATCAGAAATTTCAACTAATTCATTTGTAGATCGAGTAATTTTCTGTTAGAATTGTGATCTTTTTTATTTTTCTCTTTCGATTACTGGTTACTTATAACTTCTCTTCTTGCTTAATGAATCTTTTTGGGTTTGTCACTTGTATTTTTATTTTTCATAGAAGATACCTTTGACTTTGAGTCTTTTTGTCCCTACTATTTAATTTCTTTTCCAATCCTTTACCTCATTCTTTCTATTTTCATGTGAATTAATGATGTCTTCTCCTTCTGTCATCTTAAATTGGACACAGAGTTCATTAATGTTTAGCCTTTCATTTTCTCTACTGTTGGCATTTTAAATTGTAATTTGCCCTTAAAGCCATGCTTTTATTGCACCCTACATGTTTTGATGATAGGTGGTATTTTTATAATACAATTTTAAACATTATTTAGCAATTTTGTCATCTGATTTTTTAAAGGAACTTCCATTTCTGTATACATAAGTAACAGTTGAGGAAGTAGTAAATGTCATGCACTTTCATTTTTGTTATTAAAAAAAGAGTATTATCCATTGGGTTAATTTTTGGAGGTGTTTGTATAGTTTCTTAATTTTTAGGAGAGAGCAGATAAATTTAAAAAAAAATTATCTTTAATTTAATTCCTTTATTTAAAATTTAAAAGTAAAACAAATCCAGGATATAATACAGCTTCCATACCTTTGTACTTTTAAGTAAGAATTGATTTTCAAATTGTGTTGAAGTACTACAGCAGTTTCAGTCTTGAAAGAAATGAATTGGTTTAGTTAATATTCTGTTGATCTTGGTGGAGAAAATGATTATTTTTAGAAAGATTTTAGCACACTTGAAACACTGTTACCCAGAAAATACTGTAAAAATAAACAATTCATTGACTGTCCCCTCTCTAGTTCTTTTTCCTTTTTCATAACACTTAATGGTCAGGTACACACCCAAATCTATCAGAATCTTGTCCAGTTCTTGACTTCTCAATAAATGGAAGACTTAGAGAACTTTAAGTTTCCTAGAGAAATCATTAAAATAATAAAAACTATAAGAATATGATAAGTCTTTGATGTGTTTGCACATTTGTTTAGCTGGAGAATGTATAGTTGGCATGGATTTAGATCTTCAAATCCATGAGAGGTTCTTTCTCGAGATTCTTCATTTATTATTGAAACCAAATCACTGTAACTTAGTGCATGTGTATGTGTGTGGTATGCTAGAAGGGTCTCCTTGTAGTGAGACTTAGTGAATGTTGAACAGGTATTTATAGGAGGCCATATAATTCCCTTCTTTGAAAGGCTTTCTGGAATAACCTCAGTAGATGGTAAAGTGTAACTTTCTGAGCCTAAGATTTTGGGAGTTCACTTGTAAATTCATCCTTTAGTATTGAATATTTAAGAAAAAGGAGGATATTCATGATTGTTTTAAGATTAATTGTGATTTCTTCTTTCTTCCTTGTAAGAAAATTAGAGATTTTCTTCTTTAAGACAAAAGAAAACATTTAAAAATGTTTATATGAATATTTTCTAAACTTCTTATTTCTTTTCAATAGATATGTTTGTTTTAGTGGTAAATCTGTTTGCATAAAAAAATGATCTGTGCTGAATGAGTTTTAAGTTTCTGTTAATTGGCTGGCCAGGGTATTGGGGCCAATGAGTACATATTTCTCAGATCTGATTTTATTTTATTTTTTTAAATCACAGAACATATTCAAAATATAATGACATTGGAAGAGTCTGTTCAGCATGTGGTCATGACTGCTATTCAAGAGGTAAGTTACCACATCTGCATAAAAATTCTAAACCAAATTATATAAAACCTTTAACAGATTTTAGAATTACATATTTTTCTGTTTGTATAAACTTGCCCTTTGCAACAGGTTTACTTATCTTTAGCAAGAATGTCTTATTTTTCTCAAAATACCTTAAAAGGCCTTCAAACCCAGTTTTAATAGCTCTGCATTTTCAAAGGCAGTTGATGAGCTAATGTTGTTAAGTTCCTTTAAATAACTTCAACTAAACAGGATAAAAAAAAAAAAAAAACCTCTGCCTACGTTGGATTTTTCACTTCTTCTTGTTTTTCTTTGAGTTAGAGTAATCTTTTCTGTGATTTCAAAGCTTATCAGTATCTATGCATTTTCAGTATGTTACATCTATGCAAAAATGTAGAGGTACTTAGGTTTTGGAGCCAGGTAACCCAGACGTAGCCTAGCCAGTCTACTTTTCCTAACTGAGCTAGGAGGATTTAGAGTTTGTGGTTCAGAGAGTTGATTCTTAAAATCAGTCTGAAAGTAAATGAAGGGTTAGTGAGGAAAAACACAATTTGGAAGGGTTATGGTTTAGAGGGAGATATACAGGACTTCCCACCACTCACCCATCAGTTTGTCATACTGTGGTGGCTTGTGTGTTGCTGAGAGTCAGGAGACTATGCCACCAGTATTTCAAATACCGGTATGGTCATGCATGGTGGACAGGTTTCAGCAGAGCTTCCAGACTAAGACAGACGCAGAAGAAGGAAGGGGCCATCCACTTCTCAAAGAATTGGCCAGTGAAAACCTGATTACTAGCAGTGAAACACTGTCTGATAGATTACTGAAAAACTTTGTGAATAGCCCTGAAACATTTTCCGATATACTGTTGGAAGATGAGCCCCTGTGGTCGGAAGGCACTCAAACCATAACTGAGAAAAAGCTGCCGCCTCAGAGTAGAGCTGACCTTAATGATGTGCATGGAGTAAAGCTTTCAGGACCTCCATTTGCTGATGTGGCATGACTCAAAATGGGAAGAAACAGCTATAAACATCCATTAATAATCAGAGCATGAAATGTATGAAGTATGAATCTAGGAATATTGGAAGTTGTCAGAACTGAAAAGAAACTCATAAAGATTGATATCCTGGGCATTAGTGAACTGAAGTGGACTGGTTTTGGCCATTTTGAATCAGATGATCATAGGATCTACTATGCCAGGAATGACAAATTGAAGAGGAATGGAGTGGCATTCATCATCACAAGGAATGTTTCAAGATCTATTCTGAAGTACAATTCTGTCAGTGATAGGATAATATCCATCCACCTACAAGGAAGACCAGTTAAGTTAGTACTACTATTACCCAGATTTATGCACCAACCACCAAAGCCAAAGATGAGGAAACTGTAGATTTTTACCAACTTTTGCAGTCTGAAATTGACCGAATTTGCAATCAAGATGTGTTAATTATCACTAGTAATTGGCATGCAAAAGTTGGAAACCAAAAAGGAAGAACACGTTTGCCATTTCTCAAGCTGGAAGACCTGAAGAGAAAAATCAGCCTCAAATTGCAATATTAAAAGATTCTATGGGCAACATATTGACTGATACAGGAAACATCAAAAGAAGATGGAAGGAATACACAGACTTACTGTACCAAAAACAATTGGTCAGTTTTCCTCCATTTCAGGAGGTATGGCATATGATCAAGAACCAGTGGTATTGAAAGAAGAAGTTGAAGGTGTGCTGAAGATATTGGCAAAGAACAAGGCTCCAGGAACTGATGGAATACCCATTGAGATGTTTCAACAAATGGATGCCCTCTTGGAGGTACTTACTTGTCTATGCCAAGAAATTTGGAAGATAGCTACCTGGCCAACTGACTGGACAAGATCCATATCTGTACCCATTACAAAGAAAGGTCATACCACAGAATGTGGAAGTTATTAGACAGTGTCATTAATATCACATGCAAGTAAAATCTTACTGAAGATAATTCAGAAACAGTTTGAGCAGTATATTGACAGAGAACTTCCAGAAATGCAAGCTGGATTCAGAAGAGGACATGGAACAAGAGATATCATTGCTGGTGTCGGATCTTGACTGAAAGCAAAGAGTACCAGAGAGATGTTTACTTGTGTTTTATTGACTATATGAAAGCATTTATTGTGTGAATCATAACAAATTATGGTTAACATTGAGAAGAATGGGAATTCCAGAATACTTAATTGTACTCATAAAGAACCTGTGCATAGACCAGGAGGCTGTTGTTCGAACAGAACAAGGGGATACTGCATGGTTAATAATCAGGAAGGGAGTGCTTTGGGTTTGTATCCTTTCACCATACTTACTCAGTCTGTATGCTGAACAAATAATCCAGGAAACTGGGCTACATGAAGAGGATGGTGGCATCAGGATCAGAGGAGGACTCATTAACAACCTGTGATATGCAGACAGCACAATTTTGCTCTCTGAAGGTGAGGATGACTTGAAGCACTTACTGATGGATATTAAAAACTTTAGTCTGTGGTATGGGTTACATCTTAGCATAAAGAAAACAAAAATCCTCACAACTGGACCAATTAGCAGCATCACAGTAAATGGAAAAAAGATGGAAGTTGTTAAAGATTTCATATTACGTGGTTCCACAATCAGCACCAATGGAAGCAGCCAGCAAGACATCAGACGATGTTTTGAACTGGAGAAATCTGCTGCAAAAGACCTCTTTAAAGTGCTGAAGAACAAAGATGTTTCCATGAAGACTAAGGTGCGCTTAACCCAAGCCATGGTATTTTCAGCTGCCTCATATGCATGTGAGAGCTGGACAATGAACAAGGAAGACTGAAGACGAGTTGATGCTTTTGAATTGTGGTGTTGGCGAAGAATACTTGAAGTACCATGGACTGCCAAAAGAATGAACAAATCTGCCCTGGAGGAAGTGCAGCTGGAAGTCTCCTTGGAAGTGAGAATGGCCAGACTTTGTCTGACCTACTTTAGTCATGTTGTCAGAAGGAACCATTCCTTGAGAACGATATCATGATTGGTAAAGTGGAAGGTCAATGAGAAAGGGAAAGGCCCTCAACAAGATGGATGGACATGGTAGCTGCTGTGATGGGCTCAGTTGTGGCAAGGATTATGAGACTGGCACATGACCAGGCAATGTCTTGTTCTTTTGTACATAGGGCTGCTATGAGTTGGAGGTGATGTGACGGCACCTTACAGAAACAATAACAACATAAAGAACTTCAGCCATCTGTGTCTTCTGAGTTTGCATTGTTGGTTTGGATTCACAGCATCATACACAAATTACAAGATCTTTTTATTTTGCCATATAATTGTAACTCCTACTCTTATAGTGACTTTTCAAATTATGAATTTTGCCTTATCAGTAATTTTATGGCTGAATTTAAAAATTATTAATATATATATATTATGTGAGATATCTTTTTTTTTAATTTAAAGTTTCAGTTCTGTTTTGTAATTTTTAGTATTTGGATTGTACTCTTACATGCAAAAGTAATTTAAATCTGACTATATATTTGCAGCATTCTTTACTTACAATGTCTTCACTGATACAAAGTTTCAACATTGTATTATTTAACTTAAACCTCTAATAAAATTTTTATTAGAATGATGTTCTAAGGGTCATCAAGTTAAACCAAAGAAAAACTAAATATAAATCTTTTTCTGCTCCTCCAAATAAATATATTTCTACTGTATAAACATTACATTATTTGTACTTAATTTTACTATTTTAATTTCCTAGTTGATGAGTAAAGAAATACTAAACTCTCCTACAAATGATGCTGTTGGGGAATTAGAACAACAGGTGAGTATTTCAGTATGTCAGGAAAATGTTGAAAACAGTGATACAATTCCTTTGCTAATTACTATCATAGGGTTTACATAGGGAATCATGGAAAAGAACATCTTCTTCCATGAAATTTGAATGGTTTTTCTGCTCTGTCATCTAAATGGAGTATTATTGTACATTCCTTCACAAATACTTGTAGTTATCAGTCCCCAGAGATTTTGTAATCATGGTGGAAGAGTTGCATGTGATTGAACTTTCCATCTGACACTTGTAATACATATTTGGCCTATGCTGCGTGGTTATTTAATTAAAAAAGAGACAGAGAAACAAGCAAGCTATATTTTAGTTTTATCAAGTAAGATAATTTTTGTCACTGTAGCTCTCATTTCTCTTGATATTAAAGAAATAACTCAAAGACCCTGTATTCAAGGCTTCTTCCACAGTTATATTACAAAACTGTTTTATGTGGGGGAAATAACATTCCTTTAATATAGAACCCATCCTGGAGTGTAAAGGAAAGGGTAAGAGGAGATGTAAATACCTTAAGTACTTTTCCTGTTATAAATATTTTGGGACATTTGTTTCTTCATGAGTGTCACCAGTCATTGCAAAAAGTATTTCAGGTTAAAATTTTTTTTTAGATTGCATAGATTAAGGGTAGGGTTGCACAGCACATTGTTGTTACTGCTGTCAGTGAGTTGTATGCTTATAAAAAGTTGAATTGGCAAAAATTGTGTGATAGGTTTATAGCAATGACCAAAAAAAAAAAAAAGAAAAGAAAGCTGTTGCTAAGGCTGCTTATGTACAGTCAAAAACTTTGTGAGATTTGGTTCCTTGGTTTGGAGGTTTAGGGTCATGGCTTCACGGGACATCCCAGTTAATTGGCCTGATAACATGTTTAGTGCTTCTAGTTCTGCCTTCTAATTTATTGCATAGCGCTTGGGGTCTTAAAAGCTTGCAAGTGGTATCTGAGGCATGACAGTTGTTCTGTATTCACTTGGAGCAGTAGAGGAAGGAGAGTCAGGAATAGGAGAAGGTATGGAATATGTGACTAATTGCCTCCATGAACATCTGTCACCTTTGCCATTAGACCACAAGAGTGGGAAGGTGCCCAATTCCCATTGCTGAACATTTTGATCAGAGAGTCTATGGAGGTATCCTGATCAAAAGGGAAAGGATTTAAGATTCTCATGGACTCCAGACTGAAGCCACAGAGGCTGGATGAACTGCTGAAACTACTACCCTGAGAAAATCTTTAAACCTTAAACCAAAAATATCCATAGAAGTCTTCTTAAAATCAAACAATAGTTTAGCTTAATTAGTAAAAAATGTCTGCCTTGAGCATTATACTCTTTTAAGAGCTGTATATATATGAGATCAATGTGATAACAGCAACATGAAATATTAGGTAGGAAACCTAGGTGGTAGTGAGTTTATGTTAAAGAGGAACAACTCAGAAAAGGAGGAGAATGTTACACACCCTGAAGAGTGTAATCAGTGTCACTATTTGTATATGTAAAAATGCTTGAATTTTTGTATTTTTCCTATGTATATTCTCAACAAATACAAAATAAAAAAGAAAGGTAATTTAAACATGTTATGTTAATTTTCAGTTTTTTTCTATGATGAAGTGAAATATTGCTTCTTCTACTGCATTTTTGGCTAAATATTTCACAAGGATTTACATAATTTTTTTTTCTTTGGGACCTTACCCATAAATGTTAATGAAGTTATGTAAATAATATTCACACAAAGATAACAAATTAAGACTAATTTATTAATAGGTAAGTTTAAGAATTCATTTCTAATATCAGTGTCTATGTTAGGAGCTCTGGTGGCATAGTGCCTAAGGCATTTGACTGCTAACCAGAAGGCTGACGGTTCAAACCCACCAGCCACTCCTTGGAAGGAAGATGGGGCAACCTACTTGCGTAGTGATATTGCCTCGGAAACCCAAGGAGGGGTTGCTGTGAGTCGGATCCGACTCAATGGCAGTGAGTTTGGTGTTTTCTTTTGGTTATATGTATTACAAGAAAAGTGTATTTTTCTGTTTGTGTCAAAACATGATTTACTAAGAATTGGGACATTATATATTTTAGCTTAAAAGGGCCTTGGAACAACTTCAGGAAGCACTAGCAGAAAAAGAAGAGCTGAGTCAGAGATGCCAAGAATTAGATATGCAGGTATGGAAAAGAAACCTGGGCTGGGGGGAAAAAACTTTAAATTTACAGAAGTTTTTTTTTTTAATTAATTGGCATAGTGTTTTGGAGACTGGGTTGTAGAGGGATCATTAAATTTTGCTGTAGGTTTGAATATTCAAGCATGAGTTTCATAATTATTTTTCTTTGAGAGTTGAAAATTGCTAGTCTGTTTTCCACCTTTCACAAAAAAAGTATTTGAGAAAATCATCTTAAATGCAGAATTTCAACTACTAGATGAGGCCTTAGTTTTCCCTTTTGTAAAATGGGGAAATTAAAGTAACTACTTTATACCATGCTTGGTAAAGTAGAGGGTCAGTGAAAAAGAGGATGACCCTCGATGATACGGGTTGATGCAGTGGCTGCGAAAGATGGCTCAAGCATAGCAACCATTGTGAGGATGGAGCTGTGTTGGGCAGTGTTTTGTCCTCTTGTATATAAGTTGCCATGAGTTGGAACTAGGGTGACAGCATCTAACAAAAACAGCACCTTCGTAGGATGTTGGTGAATATTAAATGAAGTGATTAATGGAAGTGCTTAGAAGTGCCTGAATGGTTATGCATTCTGAGTGTACGTATATTATATTCACAAATGTTCATACACACATGCAAGCAAACAAACTTGGCACAGGAGACAACAGTTAGTGGTTAAGGGGTGGACCGTTCAATGTGCTGCCTGTATTAAGACCAGGCCTTGCTACTAGCTGGGTGTATGCTGTCAGGAAAATTACTCAATTTCTCTTTTTCTCAGTTTTTCTGAAAGATGGAGTGCTGGTAGTGTTTATGTCCTAAGTGGTTGTGAGGAGTGGATGAGTTAGTATCTGTAAAGCACTTAACGCAGGGCCTGGCACAAAGCACTGTGAATGTGTTTGCGTCTTTTGTTGTTACATGAAAATACAAATGTGAAAGTTATGTAAGAAACCGTGAAAAAAGTAGAAAAAAGGTTAAATGTACCTTCATAATATGCTGTATGTTTATTGTTTTTTCTCGAATAATGAGCTAAATAAATAGTTGACTTTCTGAAAAGTATGAGGACAGGGAACTAAGGTTGTGGTAGAATTATCCTTGCTAGACAAGGTAAATGTCTAGAATAATAGGGCTGGGTAATCAGTGTTTCTAAAACTCAAGGACTATACACTGAGGATTTTAATGACTGGTCATAATCATTAAACTGCTTGCATGAGGAGATGGATGTGTGCCTTGAATTTAGGAACAGAAAGTTCGTTCCTCACATAACCTTCCTAGGGACAGATTCCCCATCCTTTGTTTGTAGACCTCATTTTGAGGACATATGTATGATTTACCCATGCTTTATTTAAGGCAATCACTTGATTTTTAATTCCTGCTATTAGCTCACTTTGTCAGTATGAATTCTCATAATTATACCTGTTGAAAATATAAATAGAAATCCTGTCTCGTAATATATTTGAAGTAATGATAGTCACCTTTTATATCAGACTAATTTATGCTAAAATCATATGTAAACTTCTGGTCTCATGAAAGATCAAAGGCTTAGCTATAAAACTGTAAGGATGTTTTTAAATGGAAAAGAAATAGAGGCAAAGGAATCAGGCTTATTGAAAAGTGTGAGGAAAAAAAAGGTCTATCAGGTACTGATATTTGTTTTGGTTTGAAAGTTACACATTTCTGCCCATTTTAAATAATAAGCAAATAGTCTCAGTATACAAGTAGATGCAGCTTTTTGTGTTGATTAATGAACCAAATGTGGTTGTCCCCTGAATATATGATACATGACTGTTAATTTTCTACCATGAACCTGATATTATAGCTTTGTGAATATGTGTGTGTGTTTCAGCTTACTAGGTATTTTGAAAATTAGAAAATTATTCTGAAAATTAGAAAATTTATATGTAAAAGGGGAATAAATGAAATTTTAAAAATTCATTTAGTGTATCAAATTAAAGATTAGAAATACTTTTTTCCTAAAATTAAGACAGAGCTAACATTTTGAAGATATTCTTACTATGTTTTTTCTTATATTACTAATTTTCATTTGATTGCTTTTGTTTGACCCAAACCATGTGGACTCTGAATTCCAGACTTAGAAGTATCCATAGAAATAATCTAATCTTATTAACCAAGCTACTTAATAACTTAGTCAGAATTATACTCACAACAGCTTTTTGCTATTGATGTTTATGCTTGTGTTTTTGTTCTTTAGGTGACAGCACTTCAAGATGAAAAGAATTCCCTGGTTTCTGAGAATGAGATGATGAATGAAAAACTTGACCAGTTGGATGGCTCTTTCGATGATCCAAATTCAATGGTTGCAAAAAAGTATTTTCATGCACAATTACAACTAGAACAATTACAGGAAGAAAACTTCAGGTAGCATTTTTAGTGGACGTCATCCTCTAGAGTTCTGTCTATTAAACTAGTATCTGAAAAATCATAATAAAATCAGCAACTAATTATTAAGCATTCTTAAGTAGGTATTAAGTTACCACAAATACCAAATGGTATACGAAATAGTTCTTGTCCTCACAAAGTTTACAATCTAGTTAGGCAAAATGGAGTGCATATGGAAAAACAAGACAGTTCAAAGTAAGGAGCTCTGGTTGTGTGGTGAGTAAGACATTTGGCTGCTAACCAGAAGGTCAGCAGTTCACTGACCAGCTGCTCTGTGGAAGGAAGATGAGGCAATCTACTTCCAGAATGATTTACAGCCTTGGAAACCCAGTGGGGGTCACTGTGAGTCAGAATTGACTTGATGGCAGTGACCTTTTGGGTTCAGTGGGAACAGCCTAAAAGTTATAAGCATGTGCACTAGTTCATAAAAGGGAGTGATTACTGAAGCCTGGGAGGGGGGATAGGGAGTTTCTTATAAAGGAAAGGGAACCTGAATATAAATGGGAACATTTAAATCTTAAGTGAAAGTGATTCACTTTTTTCTGTAAAAATAATGAAGGTGCCATTCTTACCTTTAAGAACATCGATTGTCTCCTGTGTGCTTTCCACTGATCCTTGCAGAATAAGTGTTGGAGGACAAGTATTCTAATTGTACTTCACATTTTTGTTGTTACTGCTTTCTTTTGATATAAGGGACCCTGGTGGTTAAGTGCTCAGCTGCTAACCAGAAGGTAGGCGGTTCAAACCCACCAGGTGCTCCTCAGGAGAACAATGTGGCAGTCTGCTTCTGTAAAGATTATAGCCTTGGAAACACTAGATGGCTTTTCTGCTGTGTCCTATAGGGTTGCTATGAGTCAAAATAGATTTGACAGGAGTGGGTTTTTGGTTCTTTTAATATAGTTTCAGACTTAGAAAAAGTAGCAAGAATTGTTCATGGATATTCTTTGTACTCTTTACTTAGATCTAACAATTATTTTTCATTTTTCCCATTTACTTTCTTCTCTCTGTGTATATATTCATGTAGATATGCATATCTTTTTTCTGAACCACTTGAACTTATCCATGAGGGTAAGTTGGAGACATGTACCTTTACCACTCTATACTTAATTGTGTATTTCCTAACAACAAAAGATATTCTCTTACATAGCTACAGTACAGTTATCAAAATTAGGGAATTTGTCATGGATAATTATCTAATCCATAGACTTACTCTAATTCCATCAGTTGTCTTGATGTCCTTCATAGCTTTTTTTTACCCCCTGGTTCATAGACCAGTCCAAGGTCATGCATTGCATTTAGTGATGGATTCTTATTTAATAAAGTATAAATCTGTTGCTATTATTTATTTTGATGCTCAAATTATCTCGATTTAGCCAGTATGAGGCCTTTTAATTGGTCCCTATGTCTTTTCAACATGTTACCATCATTTTTTGAGTACTAACCAGAAGGCTGGTAGTTCAAACCCACCAGCCACTCCTTGGAAGGAAGGTTGGGCAATCTACTTCCATAGTGATACTGCCTCAGAAGCCCAAGGAGGGATCACTATGAGTCAGGTCCGACTCGATGGCACATAACAACAACAACAACAATTCTTACTTCTTCGTACAAAGAAATGTTCCAAACACATCTCATCCTTTCCTTTTCTCAGCTTTGGAATCAGCTGTTTCTCCAAGGTGCTCTGGTCCATTTTAGTGGAGGATAATATTTGGAAACAAAGATACATACTCCAGATGAACTTTTGTGTCATTGTTTGTAGACCACCTTAATGTGGGCAGAGTTAGAAAATAGACTTGCACAGGTTCGTACTTGCCCATGTTCATATATTCCTGTGTTCATTTACACACATGCATATATATATGTATCCATATTTTTATATGTTATTGTTAGGTGCTACTGAGTCAGCTTCAACTCATAGCAACCCTGTGTACAACAGAATGAATCATTGCCTGGTCCTGAGCCAGCGTCACAGTCCCTGCTGTGCTTGAGCCCATTTTTGCAGCCACTCTGTCAGTCCATCTCAGTGAGGGTCGTCTTTTTCACTGATCCTCCACTTTACCACATGTGATATCCTTCTCCAGGGGCTGATCCCTTCTGACAACTTGACCATAGTTGTATTTTTATATATTAATTATCAATAATGAGTTAACATTAACATACTTAATTTTAGCAGCTCAGAGTTTATCTTGTTCTCCATTTCCATATTATAATTCCTTTCTCTAGCAATGAGAAACCTGGCCCTCTTTTCCCTCAATATATCTAATCATTTTCTCAAGCTCAAAGCGCACAAATGTATTTTGCTAACCTACTTCTGTAAAAAGCAAACTATTACTATACTATATTAATATACTTCAGTATATTTACAATTTTTTTACAAGATTGTATTTACATGTTATTGTTGTTAGATGCCATTGAGTCGTCTCCGACTCATAACATCCCTTTGTACAGCAGAGCGAAACAGTGCCCAGTCCTGTGCCAGCTCCACAATCCTTGCTATACCTGAGCCCATCATTGTAGCCACAGACTGTGTCAATCCATCTTGAAGAGGGCCTCCCCCTTTTTCATTGACCCTCCACTTTACCAAGCATGATATCATTCTCCAGGGAATGGTCCCTTCTGACAACGTGAACAAAGTAGGTCAGATGAAGTCTGGCCATTCTTGCTTCCAAGGAGCATTCTGGCTACACTTCTTCCAGGACAGATTTGTTAGTTCTTTTAGCAGTCGGTAGTGCTTTCAGTATTCTTTGCCAACACCATGACTCAAAAGACTCTTCTTCAGTCTTCACATACAGTGAAATGTATAAATATTGAATACAATTTTTATATTTTGGGAAATACATGTTTATGTAACTTACACACTATCAATATTTAGAGCATATTTATCACTACAGAAAATTTGCTCGTACCTTATCTCAGTCAGTCTCTGACCTTTAGAAGGTAATTATTTTTCTTTTTTTTTTTTTTTTAATTGTGATTTGGGTGAAGGTTTGCAGAGCAAATTCACTTTCCATACAGCAGTTCACATACACTTTGTCTCATGACATTGACCACAGTTTACCACAGTGCAACAGCTCCCCTCC